CCTCCCTCCCTCCCTCCTCTCTCTCTCTCTCTCTCTCTCTCTCTCTCTCTCTCTCTCTCTTTCTGGCACCCTCCCTCTCTCTGCACGGCGCGTGGAGACGAGAGCACAGCGCGTTTTATTGTCGCGTTTATAGTATCGAGATTTGCAAACAGGTTTCGATGACAGGTGAGAAGATTAATGGCATAATAATTAGTGAAGGCTACCCCGCATTCCCCGCGCGCAGTCTATAATTTCGGCCCTGGCCCCCCACGCGCGATGCACGCCCGCCACGAATTCATCCAAATGCCAAACGGCTACGGAAATGACAGAGAGTTAAGTAAGTTTAGTAGTTGTGTCTAAGTTATGTTAACCGATGTCTATATGCGATGAGACGAGTAGACACGAATACGCGCTCGCAGAAGTGCACGCGCATAGACGCATGCACACACGCACAGGCGCAATCACACGCGCACCGTCACATAATCGCACGCGAGCATACGCGCACGCATAGGTGCACTCGCACGCGTAGGCGTACACGCACGCACACGTGTGCGCACGCAATTCCACGTACAGTAGGCATGCACATCAAACGTTTTAACCAGCGTAAATAATTACGATGAGGCGTATATGAGACCTCGTCGCGCGCATTGCTGACAATTACACTTGTGTCTTACTTCGACTTAATTATGCCGACACGTCGCGTCACGAAATCCCTTCCCGCGTCGTAATCTGTGGCGTCGCGAACTGCGCATGCGCTCGCCGTCGCTTCCTCGGCTATGCCGCAATGGAAGATGACACGTTTACATTGATGATTAAAGACGCCGCCGCACGGCGCACGGCGGCCGTCCGCATCACACAGCCGTACCGCAAATTACGGACACACCGAGACGGCTTCGTCACGCACGCACACACGCACGCACGCACGCACGCACGCACGTACGCACGCACATGTGGCATAGCGGAGAATATAGAACGTGGTATTAAAGGGAGGGAGAGATGAAGGGAAGGATGGGGAGGGAGGGAGGGAAGGATGGAGGGAGGGAGAGAGGAATGGAGGGATAGAGGAAGGGAGGGAAGCAGGGAGGGAGGGAGAGAGGAAGGGAGGGAGGAAGAGAGAGAGAGAGAAAGGAATCGAAGGGAGAGAGAGCGAGAAAGGGAGGGAGCGAGAGATGGAGCGAGACAGGGGAAGAGGGAGAGAGATCGGCAGCTAGGGAGGGAGGGAGTGAGGGAAGGAGAGAGATAGGGAGAGCGGGAGGGAGGGAGGGAGAGATGGAAGGAGGGAGAGATGGAAGGAGGGAGAGATGGAAGGAGGGAGAGATGGAAGGATGGAATGAGGATGTATCGGAATCTTTCCCCCGTATCTGCATATAATAGTGGAAACAATTGAAATACAACGTGTGATCATTGATGGGTAGCGGGAAACCATATTATATCTGCAGTAAGATGATTATATAGAAAATCATAGAAATACAAGTAATATATGGAAAGGAATTATAAGAATAAAAAAATGAAAAAAGATAAAATAATTAAATTATATATATATATATATATATATATATATATATATTAGCGAGTAACTATCACTTTAAATTATATATCATTGGACAGGCGCATCTCTCTTTGTTGTTCGAAAATATTCTCTCTTGCTATCCTGCCGCACGTATTAATTGTTG